AAACAAGACCAAATGACAAAGTCTTGTACAGAGATAAAAATAAACCCTTTTACACCACTAGATTATAAGCTCTGGCTTATTATTAGGACAATTGATTTTCATCTACAATAAAACTTTAAGCATATTTGCTATTAAATGCATGCCAGTGGTCTTGTTTTAATTAAAAATTTTTTATTATGGAAAATCTCAAACATATGTAAAAGGAGAGACTAGTATCATAAATAAACCTGATAACATCGTCTAGCTTCAACAATTAGCAATATATGGCCAATACTGCACACTTAGGATTTCTTTTCTTTTTTTGGAGAGAGAGTTCTGCTCTGTTGCCCAGGCTGGAGTGCAGTGGCGCCACCTCGGCTCACTGCAACCTCCACTTCCCGGGTTCAAGCAATCCTCCTGCCTCAGCCTCTGAAGCAGCTGGGACTACAGGTGGGCACCACCATGCCTGGCTAGTTGTTTTTGCATTTTTAGTAGAGACAGAGTTTCACCATATTGGCCAAGCTGGTCTTGAACTCCTGACCTTGTGATCCGACTCCCTCAGCCTCCCAAAGTGCTGGGATAACAGGAGTGAGCCACTGGGCCTGGCCAGAAAGGACTTCTTAAATAAAACATAAACCATAAAGGAAATGCATAAAAATAAAATTTTTTATGCAAATAAAATGCTGTAAATAAGTCTAAAATTAAACTATACAACTAGATGATCTGCAATGCATATAGCTGACAAAGATTCATACTCAGACTTGCAAATCAATAAAAACCAATCAGCTGGGCACAGTGGCTCATGCCTGTAATCCTAGCACTTTGGGAGGGCGAGGTGGTGGGGATCACTTGAGGCCAGGAGTTCGATACCAGCCTGGCCAACATGGTGAAACCCTGTCTCTACTAAAAATGCGAAAATTAGCTGGGTGTAGTGGCGGGCACCTGTAATTCCAGCTACTCTGGAGACTGAGGCAGGAGAATCACATGAACCCAGGAAATAGAGGTTGCAATGAGCCAAGATGGCACCACTGCACTCCAGCCTGGATGACAGAGTGAGACTCTGTCTCCAAAAAAAAAAAAAAAAAAAAAAAGGTAACTTTTGAACTCAAGCAATCTTCCTACCTTGGCCTCTCAAAGTGTTGGGATTACAGGCATGAGCCAACATGCCCAGCCAATTTATTTTGCTTATTTATTTTTTTGTTTGCCCTGTCTCTCCCCTTAACTAGACCATAAAATCTGTGAAATAAGACACTATGCCTGCCTCATTCACCACAAAATCCCCAGCACTGTGAATGCTTGGTAAACAGTAAGTGTTCAATAAATATCCAATGTTAAATGAATGCCAGAAGTCAAGCCTCAGAGCACCTTAAGGGGAGATGTTTCACCCTTGCAGAGAAGCCAGGCTACATATGGACCTTAAAGTCAAGCTCCGGTCTCACTGAGTTGTCTATGGGGAAGAGGCGTGGAATGACCAATGGATGGAGCTCTTACCTGTCACAACTCATAATGCTGTACCGGGGAGGGGAGTGAAGAGAAATAAAAAACCGTACTTGGAAATCAAATTTCTATTAACAGATGTAGAAACTCTGAGCCTCTAGATTCTCTGCAGACATCTAATTAATTACCTAGCACAATCTTCTCATGCAAGTTCCTACATGAGGTACAGGAACTAAACTTTCTTAAAAAAAAAAAAAGCATGTCAATCTCTTTTTCCAGCCTCAGGTCTTCGAGAGTGACAGAAGAAAGGGGACAGTGAAGAGAAAAACAAGAAGGCACATTAAAAATATATTGGTTTTTGTTGTTGTTGAGACACGGTCTCACTTTGCCACTCAGGGTGATGTGAGCACAGCTCACCACAGCCTCAACCTCCTAGGCTCAAGCAATATTCCTGCCTCAGCCTGGCAAGCAGCTGGGACTACAGGTGCATGCTATCACATCAGGCTAATTTTTCTTTTTTTTTTTTTTTTTTTTTTTGTAGAGATGGGGATTCACCATGTTGCCCAAGATGGTCTGGAACTTCTGGGTTGAAGCGACCTGCTGATCTCAGCCTCCCAAAGTGCTAGGATTACAGGCATGAGCCACTGTGCCCAGCCAATATACTGTTTTGAATACAGCTTTTGAACAGTCCTGAGAAGGGATGCCTGTAGGGAGATGGCTTGATCGGCCAGGCTTCCAGTGGTGGTAAAGGCCACTTTCAACCTCTGGGCAATTCCAGCACTCCCCCAGGAGGCCCTGTAGAGAAGGCGTGCTTCAGCGGATGGGCTCTGGAGCTAGATTTCCTGGCCTTAAATTTGACTCTGCCATTTACTGTTCGTGTAACTTTGGGCAAAACACTGATAGTTTTGTACCTCAGTTTTCTCAGATATAAAATAGAGGCTAATAATGATATGTACTCCACAGGGTAGTTGTGAGGATTAAATGTTTTAAAAAGACTGTACGGTGGCTGATGCCTGTAATCCCAGCACTTTGGGAGGCCAAGGTGAGTGGACTGCTTGAGACCAGGAGAGCAGGAGTTCGAGACCAACCTGGTCAATATGGTGAAACCCTGTCTCTACTAAAAACAGAACTTAGCCGAGAGTGGTGGAACATGCCTGTAGCCCCAGCTACTCGGGAGGCTCAGGCAGGAGAATCACTCGAACCTAGGGGGAAGAGGTTGCAGTGAGTGTGATGGTGCCACTGTACTCTAGCCTGGGTGACAGAGTGAGACTCTGTCTCAAAAAAAAAAAAAAAAAGTTTTAAAACATGCAAAATATTCACAATAACCCCTAAAACAAAGCAAGTCCTCATTAAACTGTAGCTTTTATTATAATTATTCATCTGGGAGAGAGGGAATTTTTGGAAAAAATAGCAGCCCTGGAGGCTTGGATGATTAAATCATTAGCTAACAAGTCAGAGATAACATGAAACAGAGGGAAAGCACTAGACCAAATATCAAAATGCCTGTTGGAGCAGAGATTGCTAGTTACATCCCAATCAGGTCTTCCCTCCTTTTGCAAAATAACTGATTTTTAGCTAAGAATGTGTGCATGCGTGCGTGTGTGTGTGTATGAGTGAGTGTGTGTGTGTGTGTGTGTGTTAGACGCAGGGTCTCAATCTGTCACCCAGGGATAGAATACAGTGGCATGATCCTAGCTCATTGCAGCCTCAAACTGCTTGGCTCCAGTGATCCTCCTGTCTCAGCCTCTAGAGTAGCTAGGATTACAGGTATATGCTACCATGTCTGGCTAATAGCTCGGTAAATTTCTGCCAGCCAGGTGACTATACTTTCAGCCTTCTCTGCAGCTAGGATAGCCATGTTACTCTTGAGATATTTATAAATAGAACTTTTATATAAAACCTTGAAGTCTATAATCCCAGCACTTTGGGAGGCCGAGGCGGGTGGATCACGAGGTCAAGAGATCGAGACCATCTTGGTCAGCAAGGTGAAACCCCGTCTCTACTAAAAATACAAAAATTAGCCAGGCATGGTGGTGCACGCCTGTAGTCCCAGCTACTCGGGAGGCTGAGGCAGAATTGCTTGAACCCAGGAGGCGGAGGTTGCGGTGAGCCGAGATCGTGCCATTGCACTCCAGCCTGGGTAACAACAGTGAAACTCCGTCTCAAAAAAAAAAAATAACCAAACCTTGAAGTCTCTTTAAATGTATGAGGCATACCCTTTCTGCTTTCTTCCTCCATGAAGCTGCCTGCTGATGCTCTAGGAGTCATCTTGGGATGGAACCACATCCTAGAATGTTGTATAATGAGCTGAAGGCTCCAGTGTCTGCCAATCTGGGGAAGCAATGCAGTAGAGCCTAAACACTAGCCCTGGACTGCCTATGTCTGGACTCTTGATATGAAAGGATAAAACTATATGTTTAGGCCTCTTATTCACCTAAAACTAATATTAAATCGTATGTCTGGGTTCTGACCTAGTATTGCCATATAATTTCAGATAAATCAGTCTCTCTAACTCTTAATCTTCTCAGTTGAAAAATGTGATAATGCTCACTTTGAGAGGCTGTGGTGTGTGAATCACGAGGTCAGGAGTTTTAGACCAGCCTGGCCAATACGGTGAAACCCTGTCTCTATTAAAAATACAAAAAGTAGCTGGGCGTGGTGACGCACACCTGTAATCTCAGCTACTTGGGAGGCAGAGAATCGCCTGAATCCAGTAGGTGAAGGTTGCAGAGAGCCGAGATTGCGCCACTGCACTCCAGCCTGGGAGCCCAGGTGATACAGCAAGACTTCAGCTCAAAAAAAAATAAAAATAAAAAAGGTGATAATGCCTCATAGAACTGTAGTGGGAATCAAATGAAATAATACATCATGATAGCAGTATGGAAAATTGTGATTTAAGTTTTATCAACAAAAATGAGACACTGAAAATGGAAAAGCAAGTGTTAATGATGAAGGCAAAGAAATACAAAGACAGGCCGGGCGCGGCGGCTCAACCCTGTAATCCCAGCACTTTGGGAGGCCGAGGCGGGTGGATCACGAGGTTGAGAGATTGAGACCATCCTGGTCAACATGGTGAAACCCCGTCTCTACTAAAAATACAAAAAATTAGCTGGGCATGGTGGCACGTGCCTGTAATCCTAGCTACTCAGGAGGCTGAGGCAGGAGAATTGCCTGAACCCAGGAGGCGGAGGTTGCAGTGAGCCAAGATCGCGCCATTGCACTCCAGCCTGGGTAACAAGAGCGAAACTCCGTCTCAAAAAAAAAAAAAAAAAAGAAAAGAAAAAGAAATACAAAGACAAAGAAAATAACTTTCTAAAAAGTCTTTTCATAGATACTGTGTTTATAATAGAGTAGAAAATTTCTTACAGAAGGTCATTAAAATCTATTATGTTGGAGATAATATTCTGAATCCCGCTAAATGTACTACTAAATTATCTCAATAGGAATCTTGTAATTTTCCACTCTGAAGTCCACTGCTTCTGATGCTGATTCATTCCTAATTAGATGGCTTTAGCTATTCAAATCCCAGTATCTCCCTCTTAGTATCCTGCTTGTCATTATCCCAGACCTGTTTTAAAAATAGATTTTTTTTTTTTTTCGGAATTCAGATTTATTGATTTCCATCGTATGGACTTTAAAAATGGTATGAAGCTGACTGCAAGAAAGGGAACTGGAAATTTTAAGTTAAAATTAAGCTAATGGTGAAAGTACATCACCTCTGGCTTCAGTCACCACATCACCTTAGATTGAATATAGATTTTTTTTTGTGAACAAAGTTCCAGAACTCTGAAATCCAGGGATGCTGCAGGCCTCTCCCGGCAATGTCCTTCACTTTGGGTCAGTCTCCTGGGCCAGAGGTGCAAGTGCTTTCAAAAATACTGCCATTTCCCCAGCACAGTGTCTTTGATTGCATCCACGTATTGAGTTGGAACCCAGTACACCCAGTAGTAAGAGGCTTCCGTGGGGCCCAACTGAAACGCCATCATGTGGTAGTCTTCATGTCCTTCGATAGGTTCACTGACCACATTTTTTATGGAGCCCATGGGCAATTTCTCAGTCCGCTCTTTAGTGCCAATCCACAGTTGGTCTTGTTCTAGCTTAAACGTGAGTCTCACTTTTCCTCCAGACTTATTGTACATGCCAGACAGGGGTACCGTTGGCAGGCGCTCCTGGGCACCCTTAACAGATGGCATCACATCTTCGGTTTTTCCTTTATCCAACACTTTCCTGTGTTGTTTCTGCCTGCAGAGAGGCTCCTTCTTGTTCTCTTCGGCCTTTGCATCCTGCTGCACAGCATCTTTGGGTGTGTTTACTGCTAAAACATCATTGATGGTGGAGCCAACCACCATGATCTTGGCCCCACTGGTCACTTTTATTTCTCTCAATGTCTTATCCTCGGGGACGAGTCCCTTATACATGACTTTCTGCATGGCAGGCGGGAGACCTGTAATCGAGTGGATCTTCTGTTTCAGCTCGGAGCCTGTGCTGTCCAAGGGAACTTTCACGTCGTGCTTGGTCTTGTTCCAGATGATCTTCAGGTCCACCAGCTCCTTGCCCGCGCCGCCGCCTGCGTCTTCGCCGTTGCTGACCGAGGCCTGGGCCGCAGGGTCCCCGGGGGGCTGGGCCGGGGCCGGCTGCAGGCTATCTCGCGCCGCGCCGGAGTCCTCGGCCGCCATCCCCGCCGCGACGTCGGCCTCCACGCAGTTGAGGGGCCGCGCGGGCGCCTCGGTCGCCACGGTCTCGGCCTCCGTGTCCATGCCAGGTTCCTCCATGCCATCCGGGGCCCCGGCCGCCGCCATGATGATTGTAAAAATAGTTTTATTTTACTTTATTTTTTTTTTTGAGACAGTCTCACTCTGTCACCCAGGCTGGAGTTCCGTGGCACGATCTCGGCTCACTGCAACCTCTGCCTCCCAGGTTCAAGGGATTCTCCTGTCTCAACCTCCCAAGTAGCTAGCATTACACACGTGTGACACCACGTCCAGCTTACTTTTGTATTTTTAGTAGAGAAAATACAATCTTTAGTAGAGAAAATACATGGGGTTTTGCCATGTTGGCCACCCTGGTCTCGAACTCCTGAACTCAGGTGATCCACCCACCTTGGCCTCCCAGAATGCTGGGATTACAGGCATGAACCACTGTACCTGGCCTAATAGTTTTAAATTGACAAACAGTAATTGTATATATTTATGAAGCACAATGTGATGTTTTGATAAATGTATACATGTAAAACAATCAAATTGAGTTACGTAACATATTCATCATCTCATATACTTATTTGTGGTAAGAATATTTTAAATCCTTTTTTTTTTGAGACAGTCTCGGTCTGTTGCCAAGCTGGAGTGCAGTGGTGCGATCTTGGCTCACTGCAATCTCCGCCTCCCTGGTTCAAGTGTTCTCCTGCCTCAGCCTCCAGAGTAGCTGAGGCACATGCTGCCACACCCTGCTAATTTTTGTATTTTTAGTAGAGACAGGGTTTCAATATGTCGGCCAGGATGATCTTGATCTCTTGACCTCGTGATCCTCCCAACTTGGCCTCCCAAAGTGCTGAGATTACAGGCGTGAACCACTGCACCTGGCCTAAAATCTATTCCTTAAGCTATTTTTAAATATAAAATACATTATTCACTCCAGTCACCACGCTGTATAACAGATCACAAGAACCTACTTCTCTTGTCTAATGAAAACTCTGTATCCTCTGCCCAACATCTCCGCTTTCCCCTTCCATCCCCACCAACCCCAACCTTATAACTGAGTTATGCTTAGTGACTTTATCACAAAGCAAAGCTGTCTAAGAGAACTTTACGGCAATAACGAAAATAGTCTATATTATGCTTGACAGTACAACAGCCATCAGTCTCACGTGGTTATTGACCACTTGGAAATGTGACTACTATGAGTGAAGAACGGAATTTTCAATTTTATTTAATTTTCATTAACTAACTTTTGATTGCTTGAGACAAGAGTTCTTGCTGTATCACCCAGGCTGGAGTGCAGTGGTGCAATCACAGCTCACTGTAGCCTTAACCTCTCAGGCTCAAGCAATCTTCCCACCTCAGCTCCTTGAATAGCTGGGACTAGAGGTCCGTATCACCATGCCCAGCTAACTTAAATTTTTTGTAGAGATGGGACCTCACTATGTTAGCCCATGCTGGTCTTGAATTCTTGGGCTCAATCCTCCTGCACTGGCCTTTAGAAATCCTGGAAAGTCCTGGGATTACAGGAATGAGATAACATACTTGGCATACACACACACACACACACACACACACATACACAAACACACATATGTACATTTGTATATACACACACATATATACGTATATATACACATATACGTATGTACATACATACATATGTACATACATGTATACATACATACAGTTTCGCTCTGTTGAGCAGGCTGGAGTGCAGTGGAGCGAACTTGGTTCACTGCAACCTCTGTCCTGGAGTTCAGCCAATTATCATGTCTCTGTTTCCTGAGTAGCTGGAATTACAGGCATGCATACCATGCCTGCCTGGCTAATTTCTGTATTTTTAGCAGAGACAGGGTTTCACCATGTTGGCCAGGCTGATCTTGAACTCCTGGTCTCAAGCAATCTACCCACCTCAGCCTCCCCAAGTGCTGGGATTACAGGGATGAGTCACTGCACCTGGCCAATTAATTTAATTTGAAGTAGACAGATGTGGCTAGTGACTGTTATCGGTCAGCCACACAGTAAGGAAACAGAAGTAAATCATAGCACTTCTTCATTCCTATCGGATCTATCTCATTTATTCTAAATATCTATGGCAAAATGTTTTCTTTTCACCTGCTCGTGACATTCCTTGGAAAGTCTCCATTTCCCTATTTGGATTTAATGACCTTTCCAGAGGAATAAATCATATGTTCAATACACACACACACACACACACACACACACTCACTCACTCACTCTCTTTCTCTCCCCCCCTCTCCCCCCCTTAGTCAAACTCAGGGCAAACTTTACTGAACACACACACACACACACACACACACACTCACTCACACACTCTCTCTCTCTGTCCTCATTCCTAAGTCAAACTCGGGGCAAACTTTACTTGACACACCAAAATTGGATTTGTGGAATCTACCAAAAAAGGCACCAAAAATGATTCAATCCCTGAAAAGGCCTCACTTTTTTTTTTTTTAAGCTTTTTTGTGTAAAGACACCAGAAGTTCAATTATCCTTCTTGGTAAAAAGCCTTACATAAGTTTAGTATGTTCTTTTTATCAAATAAACCACAAGTAAAAACAGGCATGTTCTGCTCCTAGAAGATCCAATTAAGGTCAGGCATGCTGGCTGACAACGGTAATTTCAGCACTTTGGGAGGCCAAGGCAGGAGGATTACTTGAGCCTAGTTCAAGACCAGGCTTCTCTTAAAAAAAAAAAAAAAAAAATCAAAACATTACCTGGGCATGGCGGCACACGCCTGTAGTCCCAGCTACTTGGGAGGCTGAGGTGGGAGGACCTGCTACCTGAACCCAGGAAGTGGAGACTACAGGGAGCAGAGATCTTGCCACTGCACTCCAGCCTGGGTGACAGTGAGACCCTATGTCAAAAAGGATCCAACTAAAAGAAACGGGTTGAATCAAGGTTATTACCATGGAAAGCTTCTTGGTACAGTTTACTACTGCCAGACAAACAGGCAGGCAGGAGAAAAGCAACTCTCCAGAAGGGCGTACCAAAGGTGGTGATATACAGAGAAATGTTTTTCTAGCTCAAAAGAAGCAGACTAGAACAAACACTCTGACCCTGATGACCCCTCCAGGCTGTATTCAGGTGCTCAAGTTTGAGATGTGAGCTAAAGTATAATTCCTTTAAAAAAAAAAAAAAAAAAAAGAACTCCTTGATGTGACGCCAAAAAGTGATGTGACAGTGCTTGCTGCAGATTTCCCTTAGAGGCACGCCAGCAAGACCTTTTCAAATGCAAATTGACTTACTCAAGATGGCTGTCAGGTTTCCTGGGGAGGAGTTTAAAAGAAAAGGCAACACTCCCTCTGACTGACTGAGGAGTGTGGCTGACCCTGATGAAGTGAGAAAGAGAAAGAAGGGATAAGAGACACCTGGAGAGTGACCCCCGCAAGCAGACAGCGAGTGGGACTCAGCCTGGAAAGAACTTGACGGCCCTATATAGATTCTCCGCTTGAGTCAGACCGCCTTGATTGACTGTGGCACAGGCCCCACCCTCAAGTTGGCTGAGATGTTCACTGATCTTAGTACAGAATCCCAAAACGGTCTGTATCTCAAGTCAGATCCTCCTTGTCTTTACAGCAGCCGTGCCTCACTGGCTCTAACCCACAGAGCCCTCCTAAGACATGAGCACCACACTAGACACTTGGGGATGTTGCTAAGGGCTGGTCTCATGAAGCTCACAATCTAACTGTCCAGTGTGTCATCTTAAAGGTAGATGCAGACAAAAAGAGCTGAGGGATGACCCAGAACTGTGTTCACACCTGGAAAATGCCTTTGGTCTTTCACAAGGCTGTTATATCACAACATGGAAATACGGTTATTTAGCAGAAGGCAGGGGGGAAAAAAAACCCCTGCAATTTCAGAAGAAAAAAAATGCAGGGTAAAGGTAGCCAGGGGCTGGGATTAGTGAAAATGACAGTGAAAGCTTTAGATTTTTTTTCAAATATAAAGGTTAGGGAAATGAGAACTGGATATTTAAACATGCCAAGATAAAGAAGCCTGTCCCCCATCTACAGGAAGTTTATCCCTAACATCTAAATAGTCATGTTTTAAAATCAACAAGTTTGCTGGTTTTCAGCTGCCACTAACCAGAACTCCCAGTGGCTGTGGCCTACAGTGTAGACAAACTGTGCCCAGTTGGACTAAATGAAGACATATCACCGGAAGTCTGCCACCGGCCTGACCCCTCCCAGTTTCAGGGGGAGTCTGAGCAAAACACTATCCAGCTACATGAGTAGTAGACAAGATGCTTTAACATACCAGCAACAAGGGGTGCCAAGGACCCCCGCATCTGAATCAGCAGATTCGGAGAGTAAGTGGTCTATGACCCAAGGGGACTCTAAGAACGGAAACTCACTAGCAAGTTCAGCAGGACTTCTGCTTTTCCCACCTCTCCCTGTCCCTGTCCACTGCAGTTACATATTCATGTCCACAGTCTCAGATTTTTTAAATTTGATACAATTATCTCCTAGAAATGACTGTATTAGCCTCTTGGGATCTAAAGCAATTAAGTGAAGATAAATTTATTTCATAGAGCAAGCTGTCAAAGGATAAAGCAATTTCATTCCCCATTTGAAGTGGAAGCTTGGGTCATGCATGGTTTATTTGAAACAATGCCATCACCTAAAGCTGCTGATCTTATCTCTAGCTCTGTTCTCCATTCCAAACTGCTGGAGATATGTAGCGTGGCATTGCCTGAAGTTATGACATCTGGCTGAAGGCCAGCAGAACAAGCCAGCTCCTCTTCTAGGTTTCAAGCATAAGAGGACAAAAGTCATATTAAAAGAAGGTAACTATATAGGTGAAGTCTGTTAAACCTTAAAAAAGGGAGAAGTTTCCAGGGCACTGGGAGCGACGACAGAGGCAGCTAACAACGGGAAATTTGTGCAAAAAAAGGCCAAAACAGCCTCTGAATGGGGAAGGCAAAATACTTGCCAAGGAACCAGATTCTTCTCTTCTGGGAGACACCAAACCAAACAGTGAGGACTGTTTCATCAAACAGCCTAATCGATGGAAATCACGCCAGACTGAAAATCAAGAGCTCAGGGATCTAGTACTGTAAGACCATGTGAGACTTATGGAAAAGTGCCTGT